TCAGACATGGCCCAGTCGCGCCCTCAATGGCGCTCATGCATCCAAGCTACTGCTTTCAATGCATAGCTCCTTTTCCAACCCCCCCCCCACTTGACAGCCCACTGTACCTATCCCACCCCAGAAAAAACATCCGTGAACGAAACTGCGGCAGCTACAACCACTGTACGACGAGTACGCGGTTAGTACAGCTGACAATGATGATGATGATATAACCCGAGACGGCCACCTAATCGGGCCTTAGTCTACCCACCTGGGCAACCACCAAGATATCTGCACTTTTAGCCCGTCAAGAAAGACGATCATAGAAACCGTCTTTGGCAAATTTAGAGCTAATATCACTTGGGTCATAAGCAGGTCCTCTCACAAATATTGCAAAAAGAAGCGCTCAGAGGTGTCTATCGACGGGTATCAAACCAAATAGAGACGCTTCCGCTTGGTCACTCAATATAATACCCACCCCAACAGGTCCAGCCGCAGCGGCCCCTACGTCACCAAAACTGCACGGCCGGAATCTGGAACGGTTCAGTCACATTACTTGCGCCTTGTGTCCTCGTTTCTGACAGATAGCATCATCAGCTTTAAGAACTGTGTACCTGTCATACAGTGGTTATAGCTGCCAGCTTTTTTCACCTTTGATTTGTGGAAGTACGGTAGGAGGCGGGAGATGAAAAATTGGTGCGTAAATATAGCACTACCAGTGGACTGTTAAGTGAGGGGGTTGGAAAGGGAGATATGCACGGAAGGTAATAGATTGGATGCTCGGGCACCAGTGAGGGCGAGACGGGGTCATGTCTGACGATGTCTCTAACCATTGACGTGACCGGGCCCGGGGTCTCCATCCAGGAAGATGGCAATGACCAGCGCATCTGAGTTTGAAGGTATGGCTTTTACACTTCGCTTCCAATGTTTGACCGCTTCTGGTTCGGTCCGAATTCACTCACCTTGAAATATTGAACATGGGTTTATAAACGTACATTCATACATCACTAATCCAACAGACGTCAGAATAACTGGATGTGTATTGCCGATGCTGCCGGTGTTATCGATGCAACCTACCTAAGGTTTTCCGAGACAATTGACTGGGTGGATCACAGACTCCAGCTAAATGAGCTACGTTCGATGGGAATCAATGTAACTTCACTGCGTTGGTTCAAAACTAATTGACAAGTAGAGGTTAGGTAGTGAGAGCCCTTCTGGAAGCAAACCCCTTTATTCTCGGTAAGAGTATCCGATGGCCGTTCAACACCCTCTATCAACTCCTGGCTGTTCGAACAAAAACTATAGAATATGAAGCGGTGTACAGCAATGAAAGGTGCTCATTAGTGTTTGGCTATGAAGAACTGTCCTCCACGCAGAGTCAGTCTTACATCTCACACACTTCGCAAATTTCATCTGACGCCAAAAAAGCGCGTCACTACCAAACCCGGTAACATTCAAACTCATCATCATCATCATCATCAACGACAGCATGACATCAGTGCTCAA